GTCAATAACAGCAGTTAAAGCTATAACAATCTGGGATGATACCGACAATTAAGGTATTACCTGAAATACATACCATTATACATAGTGTTGCCAGTTGATTTATTTTGTTTTAAGACAGCTGAACATAATGTCATAAATAAAATTCAATAAAAAGTAAAATTTAATTTAATGCAATGGACAATAAAAATAACAAGTACAAAATAACATAAGAGCAATACTGAAATTTAAAACCTTTTATTAGACACATGATAATGTTCTTGCTTATGTCAATATTGTCACAAATGTGATTCCAACAACTCTGTTACCATAATAAAGTTTGAGTATAACTAAATCTCAGTTATCTTGACAAAGATTGAATACACTATTAATTGTAACTGTCAATATATATTTAATGGTTATTAGGGCTAGTGTATCCAAAGTTTAACTTATTATTTCAGCTTTTCAGAAGTTGGAAGTATTCATAAATTTGAATATGATACATAGCAAAATTAATTGAAGAAAACTTCCCTACATATGAAACTATTGGGTTGTTCGGAAAGTAAGTTCGTTTTTTTTTCTGTGGAAAATATGCAATATTCTTATGATAAATAAATATTTTATTGAATTATATGTTGACCATTTTGGTCAAATACCTGTTGTCATTGTTTCTGGTAGTAGCACGATTTCACATTCATAAAAGTTTTGATCGTTGCTTACAAAAAACCGATCCAAGTGATTTTTGACATTGTCATTTCAAGTAAATGTTTTACAGTTAAAAATAATTGTACAGACCAGAACAAGTAATAATCTGAGTGTGCTCGATCTGGCGAATACGGTTGGTATGATAGCACGTCCCATCTAAGTATAACAGTTTCTGACAAGTTACCAAACTTGTGTGAAATTTGACATTACTGTGGTAAAACACTATAGCTGTTTTTTTTTTATCAATTCTGGCTGGTTTTTCCTGTTTGATGATATTACGCAATTTGTTTACTTGAATGCAGTACACTTTCGAATCAATTGTTAAATTGTCTGGTAAAAGCTCCAAAAATAAATTTACTTAAAATCTCACCAAATAGGGCATTTCTCTTTAAAAACTCGTGGAATTCATATATCGAGCTTTGAAACGAAACCAATTTGTTTCAAGTACTCATAAACAGTTCAATTTGACAAATTTAATCTCTTAGTGATTTCACGTGTTGTTATTCCACAGTTTGCTTCAATCGGCACTTTTATTTTGTTTTCATCGGCTTCAATTGGCCATCCATAACGTGGTGCATCTTCAATACTGAAATTGCGAGAACGAAATTTTGTAAACCAGTTTTAGCACTGTCCTTCTGTCAACACATCTCCACCATACATGTCACATGATTTTTTTCTTGCTTGAACGGCATTTTTATTTTTTTGGTAATAAAAAAGCAAAACATGCCAAAGATGCTGCTTTCAATCTTCCATATTTGATGGGACAGAAAAAATAAACAATTGCACGGAATCAAATAAAATTTTTTACAAATAAGCCATAAAATGCTGTCAAAATATATAATGATAATACGGTTTAGATCGAAAATGGCGAGAAAAATACCACTAATCCGTCTAGTGGTAAAAAAAACGAACTTACTTTCCGAACAACCCAATAGTAAATAATTGTTAGTTTATAGTAGTTAAACATGAATTTAACAATCAAAATTCAATAAATTCTCCTGAAATTTGAAAATAAGCAATATATCAGTATGATTCAAAAGTTGCCAGACACTGACAACACTTTTGTGAAAAAAATCTCTAGCACTGTCAAAAGTGCTATGAATGCAAACATGCTGATATTTTCATCATCATTAAAGTGCATACCATCATTTTATAAGAGCAGTCAAGTTTATTCCTTTGGTAAATATTGTTTTCCACAAGAAAGAATGACGGACGAAAAATTCATTATTCAAGGCATGCTGCATCATAACTGGAAACAAGGGTTCAGTGCAAGGAGAGCAGCAGAGAAAATTTGCAAAATTGAAGGCCTAGATCTTATGAACAAGTATAATAATCAAAAGATCTTACTGAAACTAAATCAAATAAATAATATAAGTAAACAACGCCTTTTTAACAGTCCAGCAAAAACATTTAATTCTCTAATAACGTTTTTGACCAATTTTAGCGGCCTTCATCAGTTACTCCAATATCAAAAAGAACAAGTATTTGAAATTTACGTAATACAAAATTAAATAAAATTAAATTAAACTGCAATTGCGTAGAACAATGGAAAAAATAAAAATACATAAATAAATAAATAAAAAATAGAAATACATAAAGCACATATAGCCATGGAATGTATCAATCACAGAGATGCAGAAGGTTTGGCAAATGCTTGGAAGTCATTTTATACTAACACAAGTTAATATATGTATCCATGATGACAGCATTATTATTTATTTGGGTTTATTTGTTTATTTTTATTTATTTATTTATGTATTTTTATTTTTTCCGTTGTTCTACACAACTGCAGTTTAATTTTATTTAATTTTGTATTACGTAAATTTCGAATACTTGGTTCTTTTTGATATTGGAGTAACTGATGAAGGCCGCTAAAATCGGTTGAAAACGTTATTAGAGAATTAAATGTTTCTGCTGGACTGTTAAAAAGGCATTGTTTACTTATATTACTTATGAACAAGATAATAGCAGCTGAATGGTTTTTCCAGCAACACTTGCCAACTGTCTGCTGAAATCAGGGTTTCACTATCAACCATTGTTCAGCATTTGAAACACTTTAGCTTTTGCAGCAGATCTCAAGAAGTATCCTATAAACTGATGGAACAGAAAGAACAAAGGAGGATACAAGTTTGCAATCATATGATGCAAAATTCAAGAGATGACATGTTCTGTCACAGGATTGTAATGGGAGATGAAAAATGGATATTTTTCAGAAATCTTAACAGAGGAAACTAGTGGATCTGACCAGGTGAAGTGCCAGCACAACATTCTTTACTTTTAGTATATTCCTTATATTCAAATTTTGTCACCAATACAGTTGTTGTATCTATACTGGTTAACTAAAGTTCAAGTCAATTTATAATATTTACCAATCCTTCACTAAGACAAATTTCTGGGATAATAAAAATACCTACTAATTTAGTGAACTTTTAAACTATAAATGACAATAGATGTTTTCCTTCAATGTTGGCACATATGTATTAAGACAAGACAGGTAGTTGGCTGGAATTTGAGTTCTGAATGGGCACACTACTGACCACTTTGCTTAACATTCTGAAAGTTATCAACTGATAAAATTTGATCTCAACTGGTAAAATAACTGGGGAGATGCCAAGGCCTCTTAGTTCTTCTCCTGGTTGAGACCGAATTTTTCCAGTTATTTGTACTTTGACATTTGTAAATACATGTCAAAGTAAAATAAGTTTAGGATAATATTATACTGTTATATACATACATAACTATATACATATTTATGTAACCCTTGAGTCAGTATCTCTTTGATACCACGTCAGGATGACACCACTGTATCCTTAGGTCGATACAGAGACCACAAGTTCATGTAAGTGGTTACGTATGAGTTTTGGGTCCGGAATGGAGGGAATGGAGAGAAAAACGGAAGAAGTTGCACTCAAAGATGTTTTAAACATCAATAACCGTTTATTTATATTGACTTTAAGTTAATTATACATCAGAATTTAAGGTTACAAAGTTAGTATTGGCTAAATACACATTGGCTGTATAAGTTACGTGAATCACGTTCAGCATTGATCTTTTCTGCAATTCCGTTTTCTAGTTACAATCGAGTTTGCGATTAGTTTACGCGGAAAGAGAGAGCGTACAATAGTGCGTGGGCAGGATAAATACCTTAACTTATACTGGTTTCTCGAAGTAGTTCTCTTGTTCAGTTGTTCAAAGTTTGTTGATGTTCTAAAGTTCAGTCAGCGAGGAAATAAACATACAGGTACAGTTCTCGGCGTTGATCTCGGCTGGAGGTGGACATGTTGCACACACACAATCAATTCATAACTTCCCCGATCTTACTCATTGTGCCTGTCCTTTTTATATGAAATCCTCTTTTCGGGCCTTTCCCCGATTTCGTCAGGGATGACAATCTCCTTGGACCAATGAGGTGACGGGTGACACAATCGTGATACATAGATGTACTCATCTCAACAAGGAACCCAACTCATGGAAATCGAGGTTTAAGCAAATTTTATCGATTTTATTTTTTCCTTTTCTCTTTTAATTTTTTTATAACTTGTTCCATCTTTATAAAGTTGCATTTAAAGTTTAATTAAAATTTATAAAAGATTAAAGTCTACAACACAAAATTTCTTACCCTCACATTTATGATTTTAGCCATTGCCAAAGAAAAATTTATTTTACATGTTTTTACATATTGAATGGATAAGAGCCTACAATAAAAGATCAACTCTGTTCCTGAGGTGTAAGAAGGATGAAGAATCCCTGTGTTTTCTTCTGTTAGTATCCTGTGGAAATTTTTTAAAGTATAGGATAAATTTTAATCCAATGAATGTACAGTACTTATAAATATATACAAAAATTTATCCTTTTGCATTGCAGCATGCCCAGAGGAATGCAATTGTGTTTGAAGATTTTAACAAAGTTGAATTTTGGATTTTCCATTATATTTAGTAGTTTTATCCTGGTGGTTTATGTATGGTGTTTTCCTTTGCAAATAAATCTTATTAATTTATAATTTTGTAAGTGTAACTGTCTTAGAAACCAGTGAATGTAACTGAAAACAACTTTATAGTAACTGTGAAAATTTGATGTACAAAATTAACCAAAGATACTATGTTTTTAAATATTTGTTTTTTTTTGTTAAATTAACTTTTGTGACTTATTTTATTTGGACCCGATAATTCCAGTTCTATTTACACTACTGGTACAGAAGTCTTTGTCAGACAAGTGGTAGCTATTTCTTTAGACATACATTTATCCAAAAACAAAACTAAATTGGAAAAGCATTGAGGTCTGCCGATTATATCTTAAGATTTTGTAAAGGAGAGACTTACTGATCTCGTAGTTTGTCTCCGTCGCCATTGGGATACATGGCATGTATGTAAATTTGACTCATAATAGTTCTCTCTATGACTGATTGTGCATACTCCAGCTGCACCTCACTAGCACCTAATTAAACAAATAATGCAATTGACAAATAGTTAAATAATTGAATAACTTTAAGGAATAAATTGCAGATATATATATATATATATATATTACCATGCCATGTAGGATCCAGTTCCATATTGGAAAATAAATAATGTAGAAATTTTTCTACCAAGTGTGCCTGAAATACAAAATATGTTCTAATTAAAAATAAAATGGCAATTTTTTTGAGACAATCAAAAACATAGTCAAAGAATTTGATTCTGTCAAAGACAGAAATTTCTTAATATTTACAAATTAATGATGCAGTAAAAGATTATCCAACAGTCTGACAAGATTCCCATTGACAATGAAAAAGTAGTAATAACAATGGACTTAAAATATGCACATTCCTAGAGAGAAATGATAAAATCTGATGAATGGCAATTAATGAATAAAACCTGGCATGTGTAAATAAAAAAATATTCAGGATACAAGTTAGATTTATATATAAACAAACTTCATCAACTAACCCGTTATACATTAAAGCAATACACCAATCAAAGCCGAATTATCGTGCTAGAACCAGCTAAACTAATAATAATTTACAAGATAATTTGGTACTAGAGTTAGGTGGTTAGGCACCATCTCTAGCTAAATTTAATAATTATAATTTTTAATTAATTAAATAATTTAGAACTAGCTGAAAGAAAAGAATCGGCCTGAAGTGTTAAGTTAGAATTAAAATAAAGCTAAAAAATTATGAAATGCAGGAAAAGTGTACACAACAATAACCAATGACTGTCAAAATGTAGCAGTCTGCCATCTTTTTATCTTCTCTTCTCTGCCCACTCCATTTTATATGCCTTTTCCTTTTTTTCTGGCATTATGCCATTGCTTGTAATCATGTCCAGACCATCTCTTGTTTGGTGTTGAAGTAAGGACCCCTACTTAGGGGAACTGGTCTGGAAAACAGAAAGAAAATATTCGAGGAACTTGAATGAGGAGAGCTCACTGTGGATCAAATCTTGGTCAAGGATGGAAGTAAGAAGAACCTGAGAGGACCGAGGTGGACAAACCTTGGAAGATGTCCCTGAGCTCGAGTAGCACTGGGCCAAGAGAAAGATTTGTGCAAAAAGACGTATGAAGCTTCAGCTAAAGCTTGAGGATCTACAAGGTGCAGAGACTTGAAGTGTTCGGCCACATACCAGAAAGATATTGCTTGTATATTTAGTTAGGACATTTTAGAAAAAATTGTAATGAGGTTATCATTAGTCCCACTATTGTAATTTAGTTTAATTTAATCTTAAGGCATTTTTGTTTGAATTAATTATAATAATATATGGGGAATTCAAAAGTTTTGAATGGTAAGTTTGTTTGTTCCAACGATTTAAAAATACTTTAAATGCTTTGTGAGATTAATATTTTAGGAGGGACTTGCAGGTAGTAACAGCCACTCTCCCAGAGGAGAGTGGCTGTTACTACCTGCAAGTCCCTCCTATTTGTACAAAATACTTAGAAACGATAAAGGGGTAGTTAGAAAAGAAGATAAGGGGGGTGTGTACAAGATTCCCTACGAGAACCAGCTTTTAGGAATTAAGAAAGAATATGTAGGGGTTACAACTAGGAACCTAGGTTTAAGGATCAAAGAACACAAATATGATATTAGAAAATGTTCTAATGCGACAGTTTTGGCCCAGATGGTGCAGGCAGAAGGTTCATTGGTACATTGGGATAAAGCCGAAATCCTGAAACAGATACACTCGCCGGCATTGGCAAGAACAGCTGAAAAGATAGAAATCTATAGAAGCAAACTTGAAGAAAAATGTATTAACGCAAGGGATGCGGAAGGTCTTCCTTCTGCTTGGAAGTTTGCGGTTAAAAGCTTAAAAAAAGCGCATGAAATTTAGTATGATACATAGTAAGCTCTATATAGTTAGGCAGACGATATTAATATTTAGTAATGGTATTATGTTATTATTTTGAATATTTGTATTATTTACAAGTATTATTTATTTTTATGTTATCGGTTTATTTGTATTTTTGAATATTTAAACGAGTCGTTCTATTTATGAAGTGTTCTATTTAACCTGAAGATGATCCAATGAATGGATCGAAAACGTTTGTTTTAATTAAAAATAATCTCTCAGCGAAAGATAAGGTGTTGATTACATGTTTAATTGTTTTCTGCTGAGTATAGTTGTGGTTTATATTAAAAACATCCAAAGGGTTATAGTGGAATATTGACTGACTTTCACCTACAATTGGTTCCCACAATCCAGAACGATATCATCCGACCACCGCCACCTCGATCGTCAACTATTGGGTACCTATACTTGCTTGGCACTATATTTCTACCTATCCTATTATCTATCCTTTTCTTTCTTTCCTTTATTAGAATAATTAGTATTTAAGTTATTGATAAGTATTTCTTGGTACTGCGGTAATTTTATTTCTGCCTGTGGATTCGAAAAACTTTTTTTTTGTGAATGAAAAGGAACTAGGAGTGTCGGAATCCAGAAGATCCTGTCAAGTGTTAAAATACGAGTAGAATAAAAGAATGTTTTGTTATTCTAATATATGCATCACTTTGTTAAATAAATCTCACTACGTGCATATGACCACACAGTATTATTTGCAGATAACCAATTAGTTATAGCTGACAATGATGATGATTTAACATATATGACAAGAAAGCTGAAAGAGGAATATAATAACTGGGGACTAAATATAAATATTGGAAAAACTAATTAAATGGTAATTAGTACTGAAGACATACATGATTTAGTTTTGGAGGAAAATGAAAAAAATTGAACTGATTAAAAAATGTGATGAATTCAAATATTTAGGAACAAAAATTACTAATGATGGTCAGATGGAAATTGAAATTAGGGACAAAATTATGAAAGAAAGATCTATAAGAATGTTAAATAGAATCTTATGAGATTAACAAATCTTTAAAACAACAAAAATAAACATATATAAATCATTAGTTCTAAATGATAACATATGAAGCAGAAGTGTGGTTATTAAATTTAAAATTTAAATCTAAATTAGAATCCACAGAAATTAACTTTTTGAGACAATCCAATCAATGTTCAAAACTGGATAATGTAAAAAATGAAAAAATTAGGAAAAAAATGGATTATCAAAACTCTATAGTCGATTATATCCATTACAAACAATTAACTTGGTATGGCCAAGTTCACAGGATGGAAGAAGGTAGACTACCACAACAGATATTAAATTGGATTCTGGCAAGAAAAAAAAGAGAAAGGGCATGGCCTACATGGATAAAGGAAGTAACAAAAGCTATGGAGCACAAAGGACTGACAGAAGAGGACTGTTGAGACAGAACAGAATGGAAAAGAAAAGTTTAGGCATAGGAAGATGCTTAAACATTATTAACTTGTACAATAATAATAATGATAATAATAAAGTAACTCTAGCAGACTCAAATAGCACACCATTAAACTTACACTCACATCATACAGACATGACACAACACATAAAAAGCATACACACATCAAGCAATCGTGGGCTCGAAAGGCACTCCATGGCAGGCATCCTTATGACCTGGCCCAGGATTTTGTTGACAAAACTGCATCAAACAGCTGGTTAGACTGGGGATGTTTCTTTGGGGAGACGGAAGGATTCATGATTGCCATACAGGATCAGGTCATAAATACTAAAAACTACAGAAAACACATACTCAAAGATACAACACTCACAAATGACACATGCAGAAAATGTCACATCATGCCAGAAACTATACAACACATCACTTCTGGTTGCAAGCTCTTGGCACAGACAGATTACTTACATAGACACAATCAAGTAGCAAATATAATACACCAAGAGCTTGCAAAGAAACACAAATTGGCAGACATCCACGAACCATACTACAAGTATATTCCACAGACAGTATTGGAAAATAACACGCACAAAATGTATTACGACAGAGCCATAATCACAGATAAAACAATTTACCACAACAGACCAGACATCACACTCATTGACAAACACAATAAAATCACATACATTATAGACATAGCCATTCCAAACACTCACAATGTACAAAACACATGCACTGAAAAAATTAGCAAGTACACAGAACTCGCCCAGGAAATAAGGCATCTGTGGAGGATGGATAGGGTGCTTATTGTACCTGTTCTCTCCTGTACAGGTGTGATACCACACACACTACACAAAAGCCTGGGAACATTACAATTAAGTAGAAATACATACATCACACTACAGAAGGCCACTATATTGAATACATGTCACTTTGTTAAAAAATTCCTGAATACAGACACACATACTGACACACTTATTTAATTTTAGTTTTGTTTTGGTTGCTATGCCTTGACTCTGGTCTGGCATAGTACACAGCCACCAGTTTAAACTGAGTATTACCCACTAAACCCAACACAATAATAATCCGTCCAAGCCAATAAAGCAACCTTTTTCCTCTTAAAGTGTTCCTGTATGATATGTTCTCAACAGCAACATTGTGCTAACAAAATACATATAATAGAGAACAACAAGCAACCTTGATTCAACAATAATAATAATAATAAAGCATTTGACAGTGTTCCACACAGTTGGCTGCTACATATTCTACACATGTACAAAATACACCCATCTCTCATTGCATTCTTCCAAAACACTATGCAGCACTGGAGAACAATGCTACATCTCAGGGTTAGTAACACTTCCATACAAACAAACCAAATATTCATTAGGCGAGGAATTTTTCAAAGAGATTCCTTGAGTCCTCTCTGGTTCTGCCTAGCCCTGAATCCATTATCCAACATGTTAAACAACACGCAATACGGCTACAATATCAGACACGAAAAAACAACACAGTTTACACTCTCACATCTCATGTACATGGACGACATAAAACTTTATGCATCCACACAAAAACAACTTCATCAACTCCTACAAATCACACATTCATACACTAAGGACATACAAATGGAGTTTGGCCTAGACAAATGCAAAAAACTTCACATAGAAAAAGGAATCCTGAAGAAAGAAGATTTTGCACTTGGAAATGGAGACGTTATTGAATCCATGGAAGAGGGCGAGTTCTACAAGTACTTAGGATTCCAACAGGCCAAACTAACAGAACATACACAAATAAAGCAACGATTAATTAAAGAATACCAAAGTAGGTTAAACGCTATACTTAGAACA